AATCTTGCCTTCACTGTTTAATGGAAGCAACTGATATATAAATAAAAAAAAATAAAATAAACAATAACAAACTTTGATGTAACAATAACCAGACTATAAACTGTAAAAACATACGCTGTTAGAGAAGTGTTTCTTTGGTAGTTTTTTTTTAGTAATGCATAAAGTAAGAGTAAATACCTCTATCTCCACTTTGCTTACACAGCTGAGCTTCGCCCCATCGAAGTACTGCTTGTAAAACCTCCAGCTCACTTGCCTGGGAAGAATACATACAGAGTAAATTACTGTATGAATGTTCTGTGTGAAGTGATGGTTACAGAAATTCACCCAAAATACTGAAATAGAAACTGTTGCTCACCTAGAAACATACTATACAGTCAAACATGCTAAAAGCTGGATAACATGAAAGTAAAAGTTATTTATAAAATGATACTAGTGATAAATATGAAGTGTATTAACCACTTATGATCATAGATAACTGTGGCTTTTACTAGAAGGTTATAAACGTATACCAAAGAGAAGACACTGCTTAGAAATGTTGTAAAAGTAAAGCGTGAATAAACCAGAAGTATCAAAGACTACTTGAAAAAAAGAAAGGAGTGATAAAATTGATCAAATAACCAGTAACAATTCTGGATGGAGAAATTATACTTCTGTATATATATAACTGATACCTATCGATGTAGGATGAACAAGCTAAATCTGAAGAACAAAAAATGAAGTTCAAATAAAGAGAAGGAACTGTATTTGATTGGAAAAAATAATAATACAGTGTCAAGTTTTGATTCAAAATTAAACCATGTGTCAGCTCGAAAATAAACAGATGAAAACTAATAACTGAATCTGTCAAGAATGAAGACATCAACTCATTAAGAGATGACATACATGGAAAGTAACCGAGCACTCCTGCAACTAGAGAAGAAATTCCAGCTGATTAGGCAAAGAAGAATCTAACCTTCACATAACAGTTGTATGTCTGTTCACAAAAAGAAAATCTATCACTCAATCGAGCCACCCCAACCTGAAGACAAAGATGAATGTTGATATTATTTCCCCTTCTTCACAAAACAGCCAAATCCTTTTTTCAGTCAACAGTGTTACTATAAAACTAAGAGAAATAAACAAAGGATGACTTGAAAATATACATCTTGTCTTATATACAAATATAAGACAAACAAAAGATCATTAAATGATTTGTCAAATTTAATTCATAACAGAAATGCCGACACATTTAATAGTAAAACACAATACCACCTATTAATATCTACTCACATTTCTACAATTTCACCAACAGTTAACTTACTGAAGGTCATTAACTGTATGCAACATCTCATTTTAACCAATTCAGCACTAAGCTGACAATTCAAGTGAAACTCTACTTGGACAGATAAGACTCCTCAGTTCACTTCAACAACAGCACAGACCAGACTACACCTCAACACCAGAAATATACTTGGACAGGTCAGTGACAAGAATGCCACTTGCACCATCTGTTGATTAATAAATATTCCCTTCCTAGATTTACTATGTGCAATTAGCTAATTACAATACAATATTTAAAAATCTTGAAACAAGGTTTGCATCATTCTATAATAGTTGTAATAGGTAATGAATTTATAGATAGATTTTAATTCACATATACTGCAACAAAGCATTTCTGATTTCTTAAACAAGAGTAGTTCAAAACAAGCCAACAAAAGATCTTTAAATAGTGGATCTAAATGTACAGAAGCTGTGGTCAACAGACAATCATCATATACAAGGTGAATGGTTCAGATCTTTAAATAGTAGATCTAAATGTACAGAAGCTGTGGTCAACAGACAATCATAATATACAAGGTGAATGGTTCAGATCTTTAAATAGTGGATCTAAATGTACAGAAGCTGTGGTCAACAGACAATCATAATATACAAGGTGAATGGTTCAGATCTTTAAATAGTGGATCTAAATGTACAGAAGCTGTGGTCAACAGACAATCATCATATACAAGGTGAATGGCTCAGTTCTTTAAATAGTGGATCTAAATGTACAGAAGCTGTGGTCAAGAGACAATCATAATATACAAGGTGAATGGTTCAGATCTTTAAATAGTGGATCTAAATGTACAGAAGCTGTGGTCAACAGACAATCATCATATACAAGGTGAATGGCTCAGTTCTTTAAATAGTAGATCTAAATGTACAGAAGCTGTGGTCAAGAGACAATCATCATATACAAGGTGAATGGTTCAGAATTTATCATGCACAAAAGAATGCATCTTTAAACAAGACTCAAATTAAAGCTAGCAATTGGAATATTTTTACCCCAAGAAATCATTCCAGGGCTGATTGAAGTTGCGAATCAGTAGCCAATTTCAATACTGACACATTAGCTAGCTAATATCTAGACTCATAAAACTCAGATCAGACAGATCAAACAATATTCAACAGACATGTAAAACTGAAATGTAAACTGTGCACATAAACCACATAACTAACAAAAATCAAAAAATAAAATCACCTGTAGAAAATCTGATGTAATAGCTTTTTTAAGGTGATGTTTCTCTAGATGAACAAACATTCCAGATGCTACCAGCGTTGAAAATTCTTCTCGCAGATAATTCATGGCTTGACGGTGAACCCACTGGGAACCGTGTGGCTGTTCACTCCACTGTAGGATCTGGCTAAGGTTCTCCTGGCTTAAGTTTTCTATTAAAAGATCTTCACATCCTGCATGCACAAAAAGAATATGTTAAACATACCTTAAGTTATTCTTAAGTCAATTTGTTCTCATCTGTATTATTATTTCTGCCAAGTTACCTGATCATTTGTAAGGACACTGTCTATATTTTTGTATTTTCATTTCATATGGATATATTTTTTAAATTGCTACAAATGATCCAACATGAAACACAAATAGTCAAACCAGTTCACAGGACACAGTGATCGACCCTATCACACTCTCTGTCCATCATATACACAATCCTAGAGCCCGCTTCATGTATCAACCACTTTTACACTATTTGGTGTATGTTAATTAAGAAAACATGGCAGACCTTACCATAAATGAAATCATGCATGCCCTGTAAGTTTAGACATTTGTCACTCAAATATATTTTTGTTTATTTTCAAATAGCGATGAAATAGTTATATATTAGTGTATGAAGTAAAACAATATACATTGATTGATAATTTATAGATCTTTGGGAATGCTGCTGTAAAGCGTTACATACACTTATGTATCTATGCTGTTATAAACAGCAACATGGCGGCTGCCATAGTGCTGAAATCTTAGATAGAACAGGCCTATGTAAATCAGATTTCATTCATTGTAAATTGTTATTGCAATAAAATAATAAATTGTTCAAAATATAATCTTGTTTCTATAAAAGTTTGGGATGAGCTGCTATAGAATAATAAGAAATGTCAGTGTAATACAGAAAGACATTACTGTATCAAATCATACAGCCTGTGGAACAGATAATTTCCTGAAAAGTGAAGGGGTCCATTTAAGTTTATACCTCTTCCAACAGTATGTGTACAAGGACAACACCGAAGGGACAAATGGTCCCGTGCCATCAGTGGGTTAAATTACATTATATCAATGCTTAACACGGCCCAATGTTATGAAAACTTGCATCAAATTTTTGCCTGAGATTTACAGTACAACTAGCACCCATGATTTACAGTACAACTAGCACCCATGATTTACAGTACAACTAGCACCCATGATTTACAGTACAACTAGCACCCATGATTTACAGTACAACTAGCACCCATGATTTACAGTACAACTAGCACCCATGATTTACAGTACAACTAGCACCCATGATTTACAGTACAACTAGCACCCATGATTTATGTGCCGATAAACTTACAGCTGCCTGACATCTCAAATCTCATTCTACCTAATTTACTCAATTCTACCGAAAGCTTAAAAAATGTAACTGTAAGAGCATTATTTATGTGGAGTACTACTTATAATGGTGTACTTGTTTTAATCATTTACTACATTTCAAGAAATAAACAAAATTAAACACCTAAAAATATTTAGACAGTCTTAAGTTATATACGTTGTCCAAGACAAGTTGGATATGGCATTTCAAGAGCTATAACCAGGGCTAGGTGATTAACCAATAACCCATGAGCATCTATTACGCCAATCACTGCTACGTAAAACAATCGATCAATCAAAATTAGCATTTCTGATAATTATTTCAACTATCCAAGTAATTGAAATATTATTATGTTTCCTCATTACTTTTTTTGATTAATTCAAGTTTATTTACCATTGGTTGTCACAACTCACAAAAATAACCAACTAATTGAAATTGGTATTCCTGATTATTAATAATTTCGATTATTCCAGCTATCCAGCTCTCATGCGAGAATAATCAATTAGTTTAATGTAATATATTGGTCGGCCTAATAATTAATCAATTAGCAAATTACACTAATCACCCAGTTCTAGCTGTAACATCCAATTTCCAAGTCAAAGGCAAACAGTTATACAATTTAATAAAAATGACCTGACCCTAACACTGCCCACTAGTGACCTGTAAATTTGTATTTGGACCCAAGGCTAAGAAATTACATTCTACAGATAACTAAACTCTTATTTCATGGCAAAGAAAACTGATTTGCTAGTATTGAAATGAATTATGAAGTTTCACTTACTGAAATTATATACATAGTATTCTTATCGATGAAAGTTTCTTACCATATACAAGAGAATCCATTTCTAGTAGCTGGGCAACTTCATACAGTTCCACCAACTGATTAACGAGTGAATGTTGATAACTGTGGGTTAAAGAAGTACTGCTTCCTTCCGAAGATGCTGCACTGTTATATTTTTCTGTTTCAGTGAGCAAGGAAAGTAAATCAAAGGTATCACAATAAAGAGCAAAAAGTAAAATTTTTGCATATCGTCTGGGTACAATGCCATCATCTAAAACTATCTGCATGATCGCTGGCTCCTTCATTTCAGTGGACCTCTTCTGGTATCGTTGTATTACATTTCGAAAGAAGGGTGATCTTGCTGACAAAACTACCTTATGGCACGGTATTTCATCCTCTAGCTCGTGCACTTGAACACCAGGTGAAAGACCTACTTTAGAAGTTAAACTACATGATGCTATGATACTGTTTTCTCTTTTAAACGAGGTTCCAGACGAATGACGGAACACAAGACAAGCATCAGTAAATAGTCTACTGGACATTAGGTACTTCATATCTTCTTTGAGAGGATTAGGAATTCCGAACTGCTCACTCAGTTGTATTAGTGTATCGACATAGCCTTCATATTTTTCATTAACAGACAGCTCTCCCGTATAGAGATACCTCAGTAGTTCATTAAACATACCAAAGCTAACACCAGGAATGTCAATTTCAATGGCTACCTGACTTCCACACGACAGTGGATCGCACAGCATTTCTCGAAAGAAAGGACATCTTATACACAAGATTGCTCTGTGAGCTGGAAAACATCTCCCTTTGTATATTAATTCAATATCAGAGGAGAACTTACTTTCATAAATGAGGCCCAAGTCTTGCTGACAACTTCTAGCGGATGGACGAGCTAAATCTGCTTGTAGTGCGAGTTCCCTCAATGCAATTTGTGCTTCATAGTGTTCTACAAGCAAAGCAATATCCCTTAGGCTCCATTCTTCTAAAAATTCACGAAAAACCTGACTGTGATCAAATAATTTACTTGTTCTGCATTTTCTAATAAACCTCTTTCTTAAAGTAGACAACACAAGTGGTGCTGCCTTACGTTTCTTTTCCTTTCCTATTCCAAGTTGAACACCCAAATTTTGAGTCAGGTCTGAAGAGAGATTACTGGATCCTGGAACAACAGCACTTGACTCACTAGATGTTTGAATGGATGACATGGAATCAGAAGAATGATATCCAGTAGATGACATTGCCCCCATTTCAATTTTTAAGAGAGGTAAAACACACTCTACTTTTCATGTGATTCAATGGTTTCTTCTTCTGAAGTCTAAGGCCTTGCAAGTCCTTGTATAATTAATTCAAATGATACCACAAACAGAAAACGTAATTACTATAAATATAATGTGGCATGACCCTATAATAACTTTAACAGTAATAAGAACACTGAAGACAGTTGCTTAAGTCTTAAATTGTATACCATACGCTTTGTAAGCACATCCATGGCAATATGCTAACATCAATATCAGAACTGAAGTTGAGACTTCTCTCACTAGTTTAAATTGTACATAAACTTACTACTGTTATTAAGGAATAAATTAATATAGTTATATTACTGATTATTGTATCCTGGTTTTCAGTTCACAGCTTGGCTACCACTAGTTCCAGTACTACTACTATTTCTAACTTTTACCAAGTTATATTCTTAATCTTAAGTCTTAACAGTTAACCATACTTGAAATTTCAAAACCTTAAACATCCGTTAAACAATAACATAGAAAGACCAATCAGAAATCAGCTTATTACTGTGTATTACAGTTTGAATAGTAAATCAATGTTCAGGTAGTACTGGTATTGACTATTTACTATTAGTAATACTATCAGTATCAATAAAACTAAAAGTGTAAACTGTAACGAAGAATTGCCTCGTATGTCTTAAGTTTAGGCACCTTCCTATAAATCTCATTCTACGCTCCAGCAACTAGATCTTATTTGATCTAAATCTAAGTTAAACTTATAGGAATGATGTCGTAAGTTTTCTAAAGATACATTTTAAAGCACGCTAAACAGACTGCCAAATCTATAGCTGGATTTTCGTTATAAACTAGTTACCCTAACTTATCATTTTCTTGTAATTTAACAACACGACTACGAAACAAGTAGAGTGAGGGCGCTACAGAAAATCGTTTTCGTTATGTTTTTATAATATGATGGGGCCTCTGTAATATAAACTTAATTTAAAACTACAAAGCTACTCTAAGCCAATTCACAAGAAAAAGTCACAAAAAACGTTTGGATGCTCCTACCATAGATATTTCTTCGCACATGTCCTTCGATAAAACAGCAGTAAGTTTAAGGGCTTACAACGCTAAAATCAGTGGTTCGATTCCCTGCGGTGGACGCAGCAAATAATTCAAAGTGGCTTTGCTTTAAAAGAAACAAATAAATAGTGAGCCTTTGTACCCACACACACACACACACACAAATTACCTTTCGTAAATTTTGTTTCTGATAAAAGTGTCTTAATTTTGTTGAGTCCGCAGATTGCAAGTCGAATTTCCAAACCACCGGGCCATGCCAGGCCTCCTCTGGGGGTTATTTAGTAAATAACAAACAAAGTATATTGTTACATCTCCGTTTGTTAATTGATTTTCCGTAACTTCGTTCCGACGAAACTTTAGCGACACACGTCCTTACTTAATAAAACTGGTTTATTCTTTCAGAATATAACTTTGCCGATACACTTATTTTCAACAGTCGCTCTATAACAAACGTTTTAACAACGAACGTTAACTTCAACAATACTTTCTGACTGCAGTTCAGTTACACACTACCTACACACATTCCCCGTCACGTTGTGAGCGTCTTATATATATACCAGACTAACATATATCTAGTAAACGCTAGGGCATTCACGAAGGAACAGGATAGTTCTAGAAACGTGGCGTGACACTAGTCACGTGACCTCGCTGACGCAACACTGCCCCCTCTTTAGTATTGTTCGTCCCGAACAATAACCACATACAATAAACCAATAACTTAATTAAAATAGTAACAGAATTACAAACACAAAATTACAAA